CTCAACAATGGCTTTTCTATATTTTACAATTATATTAGATAATTGATAGTAACATAATTACTAATAATAAATTATAATTGATCATGTCCTTGACTCTAACTATAAATTACTATTAATAATTAATAATTGATTGTATTAATAATGGATTTATATAAATACTGTAGTAACAAATTATGGATATATTAAGCAAATGTCAAATTTGACTACAATTAATGAATAAAATGTAAAGGTGTTTAGAAAATATAGCTATTCTCTCTCTCTCTCTCTCTCTCTCTCTCTGTCTGTCTGTCAATACTTAAATTGTAATATAAATGCAATTGATAAAAGTAATGAATACATTTATTGATTATTTAGTAATTCTAATAATTTAATAAAAATTGAATGTAAAAAGTTAATTATAGCATATGTTTATCATTGCTTAATAATTGACTCTATACTGAAATAAAATTCAATAATTATAATAGACTGCATAGACTTACTATTGCCTAATCTATACGTGAAAAAATTTCAACTGACGGGAAAAGTAGTTATGTTTTGATTAACATATTTTTCAAATAAGACTTATGAGGGAAAATGTCCGCTTGAGTTTGTATTTAAGCAATTTAAACCATATTATCTTGTTCTGCTTGGTAAATTAATAATATCTAGCAAAAATATTTACCAATGAACATTATACACAATTTAAATTTACAATATTAGTTTCTAAAATTAAGGTAAAAATTTTGTAATTTAAAGTAAACACAATGAATATACTTATCATATCTTGTTTAATTTAACATTAATTGATAATTATTAAATTGTATCCAAAATATTTTCTATTTCATGAATGTTCAATGTTAATTGGTAATTTTTTGTTAAATATTGTTAATTTACCATGCTGAATAAGATAATATGTTTTCAATTGCTTAAATAGAGCTCAATTGGTATTTATGTTATTTAATGTTTATGATGTAAGTAGTGTGACTAAACGTCCACTATTGGACAGTACATTACACTATTTGAGATTTATGTATACTATTGTAAACTATTTCTAAATTATTTCCCTAACGAGTTATAAAAGAATGAAAACTTAAAAATTTATGCAATTCAATAACAAGTATTGAACATACTATTTTAAACAACAATTTGTATAATAAAAATCACAACACATAACATGTTATAATGTTATTTAATTAACAAGCGTATAAATTCAGTTAAAATGTTGCTTAATGATAGTTGTGGAATTTGTACAAGCTATCAAAATTGTGTACATTATTTATAAACTCTTGTATAGTGTACAGAATATTACATTAGTGTTGATTATCCAGTTTCAACAAAAAACAATTCACACAAAGCGATGCTTTACGTTAATCACAATTTGAGTGATGATCAAAGAATATACAGTGCAACCTCTCCATAAGGAACAGCCAGTTGCACGGCAAAAGTGTTCCCTATAGAGAGGATTCCTCCAAGGTAAGTTCTGTTATAGGTATAGAAAATCCAAAATATTCTTTTAATTCGTTTCTTAAAAGGAGGTGTTCCCCCAAGAGAAGTTGCCCTTAGAGAAGTTGCATTGTATTAGCATTATCCATTAATTTAATATGAGCCCCATAGAGTTAACATTTTCTATAGGATTAGAATTAATCCCATAGATTTAGCGTTATCCATAGCATTAGCATTAGTCTCATAGAGTTAACATTGTCCATAGACTTAAACTGTAATCCCGTGGAAACCCACGTAAAGTTTTTCCAAATAGCAAATGTTTCCCCATGTTACCCCATTATAAGTATAGCCATAGGATTAACATGGAATCCCATTTTAAATCCCATAGGGTGGGAAAAGGGTGGGGTAACCGAACGATCCTATAAACCACTTTATTCATAGCTGAATTGTGGTTAATAGTGGAAGATGGGGCATGGTAATCCTAAGAACTTTAATATTTATACAGTATTGTTAGTGGCACTAGATTTAAGTGTTTATAACTGAACTGTAGGCACAATATCGCCGTCATCTCTGCAACAACTGACAGGAGTGGGTGACACCAGTGGTGGTAGCGGTCATCCGGAGCTTTCAGGTGCGTGGCGTACAAACACAGCCTCACATGAATTAACTTGATATTTATTGCACTGTTATTTGACTACAGGTGCACATTATCTGAGAGGCGACTGGTCTGCTGGATCCATTTATGAAGGCCCCAACTCCACTAATTACACGGTTTCTGTAGGAGATCACAGACGTATGAGTCCAGATCGCAATCCAGGAGCTCCTATTGGCCTCTCAGCTCATCAATTGGGTCCGCATTTATGAAACAAATATTAAATCAAATCAATAATTGTTGTAATTTTTTATTTTCATTAAAGGTTCGGACTTTTTTGCGGGAGAAGCCCGAGAATGTGTCAACTGTGGCGCTATATCTACGCCACTGTGGCGCAGGGATGGCACCGGACACTACTTGTGTAATGCTTGTGGCCTATACTCGAAGATGAATGGTATGCATAGACCACCGATCCGTCCACACAAGAAGATGCCCAACAATAGGAGGGCAGGTCTAACCTGTTCTAATTGTCACACATCCACCACCACTCTATGGAGACGTAATAACCAAGGTGAACCGGTTTGCAATGCTTGTGGTCTCTATTATAAATTGCACGGAGTAAGTATACTCGACCATAAACTACTCTCCAAATATACAGTACAAAACATTCATACGCGTAATAGTATTGTATGATATTATTGTTTAATATAGCTGATATCACATAATCAATACTAGCTATTCCATCTCTATTGGACATTTAGCTTAATTTAATATAAAAACTTATGTAAACACTGCATTGTATACTACAGCTCTCTACCTTATACATTCTGTATTCTCATCTGTAAGCAATGAGAAATTTTTATTTCTAAATGTTTAGTTTGCTAACCTATAGAGCAGACTCTAACAGACTCTGTACTTTATAATGGCTTCAAAAGTGATATAATCTTATCATTCGTGTGAACGTTTTGACATCAAAACAGAGCAGTGAATAAATTTCTTAAAGTGAATACTGGATACTGAGATCACATTTACTTTAAAATATCTAATACTTGATATTGAGTTTCAATTTATGTATTGCAAGACAATCGTATATTATAATACTTTACTTTATTTATATTGGCTCAAATGAATATTAAATAGCATGTTATAGTTCTGATATAGTTAGAATTATGAAAATGGTATCATTATTTAGGTTAACATTCTTAGGCGAAAGTTCAGATCTGATCTGGTATATTATTTTTACTTATTTTTTAATTAAATATTCAATTAATACTTAATATTCTGTTCACTTCTAATGTTAATAAATATTCAGGTTTTTGTCATTCTTTGCAAAAATAGTGAACATTTAAAGCAAACATAGCTTTAACTCATTTATCGTTCACAACAACTCTTCTCAATGACTTGCACTCAAACTTAGTTATCATCAAAATCTTAGTTTTTTCTCATTATTTATTGAGTCTTTAAAAAGCGGCGTTTCTTTAAATAAAATTTTCGCATTTAATTCACTTCTCACATACTCTTACTTCTCTCTCACGCACACTCGCTCTCTCCCATTTGCCTGCCTTTCATTACCTCGTATTAATATACAATTGATATTTTTGCACTGTATACTACTGTACACTGTATAGCTCTACACTGTCTATCTATAGCTTGTATGTATAGACTATAGTTTATATACCTGTATATACCGACAGGTGAACCGACCACTGGCTATGAAAAAGGAAGGCATTCAGACTCGTAAACGTAAGCCAAAGGCTGCGACACCACAGGAGTCATCGTCTCAATCGCTTAATAAACCACAACAAAGTAATTAAACAATTAATTGAGAATTTAAACAAATTGCTTGACGTTTATTATTCATTTTTATGCCTCTATTTGTCAAAACATGTCTTCAGATATGAATAGTTTATCGGATAAGATATATAAGATTATCAAATATTTTAATATATCTGTCATTTTATCGCAGTTGTACTGATTAGTTAAAACATAATCTTTAGATATGATAACATATGATAACAAATATTGAACTTGATTTCTGCATCTATATACAGATATGTATATTCAGTTAACTATATGTTAGCTATATTTTCTAAACACCTTTACATTTTATTCATTAATTGTAGTCAAATTTGACATTTGCTTAATATATCCATAATTTGTTACTACAGTATTTATATAAATCCATTATTAATACAATCAATTATATAGGTTAATATTATTAATTATTAATAGTAATTTATAGTTAGAGTCAAGGACATGATCAATTATAATTTATTATTAGTAATTATGTTACTATCAATTATCTAATATAATTGTAAAATATAGAAAAGCCATTGTTGAGTACAAGTGGTTCAATGCTGTATTCAGCCCAATCGTCCACGTCGTCCATGAGTCGTAATGAACATGATTTAACTCCAGGCCACGACTCGTCGCCTTCAAGACCAATATCATCACCGATAACACCATCGAGTGCTACCCTAACTCGACATCTTCATGGACTTATGCCTTTGGATGGCTATCAATATAGTACTAACAATCAGTTTAACTCCGGCGCTAATACTATCAATATTAGTCATTCGAGTGCCTCAATGGCAAGCGTTGGTCATCACTCCACTGTTTCACAAGTTCTTCATTCAAATGCCATTCACTCCAGTGTTATTCATGAGCCAAATGTGGCCAAACTTTTGGTTCATTCGGCAAAATCTGGACAAACATCTGATAACGGATTGCATTCCGGGGCTGACGAACACACCAGTCGTCACAACACCACAACTACAACCAATTGACTCTCACATCATCACCACTTCAAACAATACCAGTGATCTATCAATATATAAATATCGTTTTCAAACTTATTATTTATCAGTTATATCACTGATATATTACCTATTCTTTGCATATAAACAATAATTATGGTCTATATTTGACAACAATTAATTTTTTATTATAATTTAGTATAAGAATGAAAATTTGTAAGATCTCGTTCACTCTCTCTCTCTCTCTCTCTCTCTCTCTCTCTCTCACTCACTCTCTTCTTTTTGATATCTTATGCTGATTTGAGTGCCAAAAATGATGACAAATTCTAATTATAGCGAACTATGGTATAAAGACCGATATTAATCACTGTATTGTCCGATATAATTAAAATTAAATTATTGTGAGTTTTACAAGTTATGATATTAAATATAAATAATAAAACATTTACTACATATAAAGCAATAATTTAATACATATTTTTTATCAAACATAAAACTGTTTATTGTTATTCTTAATTCTTTTATTATATATTATAATATTTTACTAAATCTTATGAATATATTTGTAGTTTTAAAATATTTTTAAAATAAGATATATTATCGTTATTGGGGATAAATATTGATAGTTTAATACACATATTACTTGTATTTGATTTTAAAATAAACTTAGAATTGAAATGATTTTTTGAAATATTTGTTGTTTTCTTGGTTTGTAAAGTTTGAAGAAAATATTGGCCACTATTAGACAAGTAGTCTGAGTGTATGGCATAGAGTATGGCATAGTATATGGCGCTGATATGTCCCTGTGTTGAGGTCTGAGTCCTCTGAATGTCTTATCGGAAACATTAATCGACGGCTCCATTAGGCAGAAGACGCCACAGAGGTATTCACTGTTATGGATCCAAAATCACTAATTTTTGGTTTTGGTTTAAATAATAAAAATTCAGACCTGTTTCTGATCGCTAGATATAGGAAAGTATTCGTCAAAAACCAATTCTTATACACGAGTGGGAGTTCTGCGCAACTCATGCGGCGCTGGCCTCTGGGCCTGTTGTGGGGCTGACGGGCTGTAGCTTATATTGGCTTTGGCTGGCTTTCCCCATACTCTACACTATAATATAATATGATGTTATGTACTGTACATTACTCTACACTCTACTACATACTACACAATATTACTACACCAAACAAACCTATACCCGCCTTCAAACACTCAACACCAGCTAACCATCGCTACTGCTCTACACATCCCATCCACACTTACAGTACATCTTAGTAATCATAATTCTTCTTACAATTCTTCTTACAATTCTTCGTACAATAATGTGCTTTCAATTATAATTCAATTGTACTGTTATTTAAATGTAAGTTTTATATATTATCCATTACTTAATACTACAATTATTATTACTACATTTTATAAATTATAAATATATTTAAAACTAGTTATTAATTACTTATTAAAACAAAACACTTGTTCTCCATGCCCGCAAATCAATTAATGGTTTAATTTCTGTGTTTTTGCTGTGTCTAAAAGATTACCCTAGAAATATATACAACGCTTAAAAAATGATTACATTCCCATTACAAAACAGAATATTATTAGGATTTGTTGCCAAATGTTGAATATTTGTAAAATGTATGAAATTGTCATTTAATACAAGTGATAATTAAGTATTTTAAAGATCACTTTACAAATTATTTATTTTATTACTTTATAAACTGTTTTGCTGTTATTTTGTGAATAATAACTTGTGTTAACTTAATTCACTTCTTTCAGTCAAAACCTGTAACATTTATTACTTAAAAAAACTTATAAACTCAATTTTATTGATATCATTATCTTCATGTTGATTATGTAATGATGATTAACCACTAAATAAATTCAAAAAGTTGACATTATGTTAAATCACCATCATGCTAAGCAATGTTGTACGCAATTATACGGTTTAGGATTCTTAGCCACCATTCGGGTAATGCGAATAGAATAGAAAGGCTCATAAATAGCTCATTCTTATAGAATGAAAGTACGCGCTCTAAACAATATAGTCTATACTTTAAATCACTCCATCCCTCCGCTTTGGCCCTGTGTTTACTTTATTGCAAAACATTTTTAAATAAACTTTATTTTATGAATAACTATGTCATACATAACTGTATTATATACTGTATAATAATATAATATATACTATAATAAATAATATTATTATTAATAAAGTGTTGATAAAAGGAATTAAATTCTCATATAATGTTTTAATTTCCATCTCAATTGAAAAAGTTATACCAAAAATAATAAATCGAGTTACAATTTATTTCAGTATTTGATATGAATGATGTAATTATTGAGAATTATTTTTACAAATTTTAATTGTGTTTTTATGCCAAGTAATTTTGCAATTTTAAAAATACAAATATTGATATTTTATGTACTATATATTTAAAATTTGAAAAAGCCACTTTAATAATTGTTAAACTTATTTCTTAATTTAATTAACAATCCTCTCTTCCTCCCCTTCTCCTTAACCGGAGCAAAACAAAAGCACATTTTATAAATATTTCAGTCCATTTAGATTAAAAATATGCGTAACATTTT